AATCACGAGACCACGTCGTCTCAACATCCATAATCCATTTTATACCCTCTTCACGTACTCAATAACATCATCAACTAATACACCTGCGCTAATTAGATCTTCTGCGAATCTTAAGTTATTTCTCCCATATCTCTAACACTGCACTGTAGACCCGATGATAACGTAAAAATTACCCATGTATTCTTCACACTCTTCTGCAAAACCCAGTCATCAGCCACATAAAGGACCCAAAATCTTTACAAACCGCACTTCAGTTCTCAAACCCACTAGAACCATTGTTAAGAGTCACCCACTCTGACCTGGTCCTGAACATATAACCAAACTTCAATGCTGTGATAGCACATGAACACTTTAAAAGAAGCAACCGGATGAATTCTTTTCCTGTCCCATCACATCCATAAGAAGCATAAGTTCTGAGTCATCCCCAACACCTGCACATGAACCAATAAGGAAAATTGTAACACATATACGTCAAATTCCTTATCCAAAATTCCTTGTCCTTTTGGTCATAAATAATCCATCAACACAGAGATTTCTCGAAATTACACAGGCATACGACCACGTGACTCACTTATAGATGGTCAGCTCCCCCACTTAGCTTTACGCTACAACCACGAAGATCTAGACCCCACAACGACATCTTTCTCCCAGTAGCCATAACCCTACACACTTGCTTATCCAAATTTCTCATAAGTTCTCGTTAGACTAATCATGACACATCCATCATGAAATAAACTAACATCCCTAGGTCTACACTGATTGCCAGCCGTAAGAATCCCTTCATTCATTAACATCACCCGAAGGTCCAACAACGTGCTTGGAACTCAAAGTCGTATCGCATCCAAGACAATGATCGAATACTTTACTTTTTCCTACATTCCAATCAGGCTCTTCTCGTCATGCTCAAAATTCTTAAGCATAGAAACCACCTCAGAGATCACCTCCATCAAACCAATAACACTGGAAATGCCTATTAATTCCTAAAGCCGCAACACACAACCATCTTTGATAGCTTCCTCTTAGGTTCCATCTCACAACACTGTGCTAAAAGGCTAATAAATGAAGACCAAGATGCCGATGAGCCGCAATGCATTTAATCAAGGATGATGACACCATAATATTATCAAGAATTCCACCTAATTTGGAGATATCAAATCTTGACCGTAAGCAATACCGACACTGGGCTAAAATGACAGAATACTCATTTACAAGGCGACGATAATGGTCTGCCCGCATTTGAAGGGTATAACATCCTGCACCACATCTGTAGCATCTTCACAAATCGTCGGTTCCCAATTGATAACAAGCATTCCACAAAGCATAATAATGAGTAGGAAGGAAATAAAGGCATAATATTCAATGGAATCAAATCGCACGACAAGGAATCAAGAAGGGAAGTGCTCCTAACAGCCCTATAGCCTCTCAAAAATAAGTACAGATGTCTCCATACCAGTCCGCAAGACTCTACTAGACTTGTTCCTGACTCGTGGGACCTAAGTGAACCTAACTCTCTGATAACAAGATGTCACGACCTAAAATACACTATAGGCCGTGATGGCGCCCAACGTCATCGTTAGGCAAGCCAACGGTGAACTACCAACTTAATTATTTATTTTATTATTTTTTAAATCATGAATCCCATTAATAATAGAGTAAAATCTGGAACTCGCAGAAACCTATGCTATTCTTTACAAATTTCCAAATATAAATAAATCATAAAGTGAAATAATAATAATAACATGAACTACAATAGTGAACATCCACTAGGAACCCCCAAAACTCGGTGTCACAAGTGCATGAGCGCATATTAGAAGGTACAATAATAATACAACATCTGTCTAGAATACACGATAGACAAGATAACATAAATAATTATGATGGAGACTCCGTATGCTGTGATGCGTAACATGGGATACAACTCATTGTAAAGTCCTCGCAATAGATGTGCCTTTGCTCCCAAGAGACCACTAGAAATATATATAAATATAAACCTTCACAATAAGTGCAAAAGCGTAGCATGAGTATGTAAATAAATGCGTACCTAGTAAGTATCTAGCCTAACCCCAGAGAAGTAGTGACGAGGGGTCAACATCGACACTTACTAGTGATCTAATAAATCAAGTTTAGTAGAAAGTAAACAATTATAAATCATGATAATTAAACAATGAAAACAAGTATGGGTACATGATATGATCCTCATCTGAACAGTAAACCCAAGTCCTCAAATATAGAATACCTCCCCAAATAGAGTGTATATAATATGGTCCTCACCAGATAGGTTATCATAATTCAAGACATGAAAACTCACGAATACAATGGCTTCTTGTCACTGTTACGCATGATTCTGCCGAGGCGAATGGATCGATCCCATAAGAGTATTTCATGAGGTTGTTGAGGCAAAAGCCTGATCCCATAAGAGTGTGATATATGAAATTTCTGAGGCGAACGGCCTGATCCCATAAGAGTGTATGTCAATAATATCCTGCAGAGGCCAACAGTCCGATCCAATAAGAGTGTGGTACAATAATATCCTACTGAGGCGAATGAATGACCCGATCCAATAAGAGTGTGGTAAAATATCCTGATGAGGCGAACGTCCCAATGCCATAGGAGTGTTATACAATATCTTGTTGAGGCGAATGACCTGATCCCATAAGAGTGTGATACAAGATACGGTCGAGGAGGACGGCCCGATCCCATTAGAATAAGAAGCTTTAACATGTCCTTGACCCCTGTAATGACTCGGCCGGTTGTCTTGAGTGTATGAGCCTTGATCCTCTATTTATTGCCTCATCTGTGTTATATTATTGTTACGTGACTTGCTGGGGCATTTCCTTTTGGTTTCGGGTGAGCTTCGGAGTGAAATGGGACACATAGTTTCTAAAATGAAAGTTTAAGTCATAGGAGTTTACAGTTGTTTGACTTATGTAAAGACGACTACAGAATAGAATTTTGATAGTTCCAATAGTTTCGTATGGTAATTTTAATCTTAGAAGTATGTTCGGACGTTGATTTGGAGTTCTGTAGGTCATTTCAACATGATTTGGCAAAAGTTAGAATTGAAGGAATTTGGAAAGTTTAACTGGGAGTGGACTTTATTGATATCGGGATCAGGTCTCAATTCTGAAAGTAGGAATAGGTCCGTAATATCATTTATGACTTGTGCAGAATTTAGTGCTAATAGGAGTTGTTTTGGTATGAATCAGCGTCGGTTTCAGAATTCAGAAGTTCATAGTGCCTTTGGCTTGAATTTGGGTTGCGATATGTATAATTTATGTTATTTCATGTGAGTTGTGACCTCAAGTAGGTCTGTTACGTGTTTCGAAACTTGTTGGTACATTTGGATAGGGTATCAGGTGCCCCAAGTTTGAATAAGATGGGTATCAAATCATTTTTTGACTTATTAAATTGCTAAAGTGCTAGGCTGGTTCTGGTGTCTTCGCACCTGTTGAGGGATTGGCCGCGGGTGCGAGCTCACAAATGCGTGCCACTGGTGGTAGAAGCGGATTTTGTCTAGCCCAGCTGCGATCGCATGTGCATTCATTTGTCCGCAGAAGCGGACTCACGTATGCGGAGGCTGTCTTTGCAGAAGCGGAACTTGGGGAAGCAGCCTTGGGCTTGACCGCAGATGCGGCCATTTCTCTGTAGAAGCGGGCTCGCATATGTGAACTTTTATATGCAAAAGCGGAACCCCTAGGCTTAAGCTGAGACTGCACCAATGATGGGTTTTCCGCAGGTGTGACGTTGCAGACGAGACAAATCGCAGATACGGTTTTCCTGGGTAGAAAAGAGGGATTTCGAGGGTTAGTCTTCATATTTTATTTTGGGATTTTTGGAGCTCGGTTTGAGGTGAAATTTTGAGGGTTGTTCAAAGGAATTGTTGGGTTAAGGATTCTTGGCTCGTTTTTGATTAATTACCATGAATCTAGTGATAATTATATCTTCTAATTAGTGTTTTGGAGTTTGAAATTTGGGAAAAATGGTATAAACTCCTTAGGCTAAAGTTTTGGGTTTTGAAAGGCTTAATGATGTCTGATTTGGATAATTCTTGTATGGTTGGACTCGATATCAAATGGGTGTTTGGCTTTAATAATTTTGGTCGGGTTCCGAGCTGCGGGCCCAGATTGACTTTTTGGGGTAATTTTTTAATTCTTTGCTAAGATCATAATTTTATTATTTAAATTATTTTTCTATAGTAATATTTTAGTAGAGCCTTTAAACAACGTCGAACAATACCAAAATAATGAATTAAGCACGGATTCAAGCCTAAGAATTTAAAAATTTTCAAATTCTACAAATGATGCCGAACCACATCAATTCTAGTCCGAATGACCTCAAATTTTACACACAGGTCACAAATGACACTACGAACCTACTGCTACTTTCAGAATGGAATTCCGAGCTCGATATCAAAATTTCCACTATCCGCCGAAATCGCCGAAACTAACTTTCGCCAATTCAAGCCTAAATCTACTACAGACCTCCAAAACACATTCCGGACGTGCTCCTACACCCAAAATCACTCAACGGAGCTAACAGAGTTGACGGAATTCTATTCCGGATTCGTCTTCACACAGGTTTGATTTCGGTCCAAACTCTAAGGCTTAAACTCACAACTAGGGTCTAAGTGTCCCAAAACTCCCCGAATTTCATAACCAAACACTCCGACAAAATTCCAAAAGCAGAAAAAAATATGGGGAAAGCAGATATTAGGGGATCAAGGCTCAAATTTGTAAAACGACCGGCCGGGTCGTTACAGGCATACCGATCACCATAGAATTACTCTTGTATAGGTGACTCTATCTTTGTAGAGGCCTTCATAAAATGTTCTGATTGTACAATAACCTGGATATTAACCAGGTCAATTGGTTAGGCAATTTTATTATGCAAATTTATACGGGACTTATAAGGCTCCATTGCTTAAACCTCAATGGCTACGGGTAGGAAAATGTAGTTCTGAGTTTAATGTCGCCAGCTCGACTTATTTTCTACACGATTCTTCATTCAATTAGAGTAACTGATGGTTGTTTCTCAAATTGCCCTCCAAAATATAATTTTAGTCTGTGACCATTAACATTAAACTTTGCTCCAACATTGATCTGCTGAATCTCAATAGCACCATATGAAGTAATATTTGTAACATTGTAAGGACCTGTCCATCTGGATTTTAATTTTTCAGGGAATAGCCTAAGTCGGCTATTGTAAAGAAGTACCTTATCTCCAATTTTGAAATTCTTTTTTTGGATCAAATTTTCGTGCCATATTTTTTTGAAAATTCTGGCATTTTCATAGGCTTCCAACCTCAGCTCTTCTAATTTATTAGCCTGAAAAAACCTATTTTTACCAACAGAGGTCAAATCAAAGTTTAGTGCTTTCAATGCCCAAAAAGCTTTGTGTTCTAATTCAACTGGCAAATAACAAGTTGTTCCAAATATAAGTCTATATGGGGATGTTCCAATCGGTGTTTGAACACTATTCGGTAAGCCCATAATGCATTATCTAATTTTAAAGACCAGTCTTTCCTAGAAATTCCAACCGTCTTCTCAAGAATTCGTTTTAACTCGCAGTTCGAAACTTCAACTTGTCCTGGAGATTGAGCATGATATGATGTTCCTGTTTTGTGAGTCACACTATATTTTGATCGCAAAGTAGAGAATTGCCTATTCATGAAATGAGTTCCTTGGTCACTAATGATGACTCACGATGTGCCAAATCTAGTAAAAATATTTTTTCTAAGAAAATTGAACACTGTACGAGCATCATTCTTTCTTGTGGGGATCGCTTCAACCCATCTTGACACATAATCCACAGCCACAAGAATATATTTAAAAGAGTGAGATGAAGGAAAAGGTCCCATGAAATCTATTCCCCAAATATTAAATATTTCACATACCTATATCGATTGAAATGCCATTTCATCTCTTTTAGTGATGTTACCTGTTCTCTGACACCTATTACATTGTGCAACGTATGTTCGGGCATCTTTAAAGAGTGTCGGCCAGAAGAATCCAGCTTCCAAAACCTTAAAAGTTATTCGATTTGTTGCATAATGACCTCCAATTGCTCCATGGCAGTGATATAAAATTTTGGTCATCTCTTCTTCGGGCACACATCTTCTAATTATATTATCTGCACAAAATTATAACAAGTAAGGTTCGTTCCACAGATAATACTTTACATCAGATATAAGTTTTTTCCTTTGTTGGTACGAGAGATCTTGGGATGTCCACTTTCTAACCAAGTAGTTTGCAATATCTGCAAACTAGGGTGGTTGAGTCACCACTGAGTCAATTGAAAAAATATGTTCATCAGGAAATTCTTCCTTTATCTCACTAAACTCAAGGAGAGGATCTTTTAATATAGACAAATGGCCAGCTACCTGATTCTCCGTCCCCTTTTTATTTTTTATCTTAAGATAAAATTCTTGCAGAAGTAAAATCCATCTTTACAACCTAGGTCTAGCATCCTTCTTTGCTAAGAGGTATTTCAAAGCTACATGATCAGTGAAAACTGTGACCTTAGTTCCTATCAAATATGGACGAAATTTATCAAATGCAAATACTACTCCTAATAACTCTTTCTCTGTTGTGGCATAATTAAGTTGAGCCTCATTCATTGTTGTACTAGCATAGTATATGGGACGAAAAATCTTATCTTTTCTCTGGCCTAAAACAGCTCCTACTACTATATCACTAGCATCACACATAACCTCAAAAGGTTGATTCCAATCAGGAGACACAACTACATGGGCAGTTGATAACTTTTTCTTAAGGGTCTCAAATTCATCTAGGCAATCACTTGAAAAATTAAACTTAGTATCTTTCATCAAGAGGTTAGTCAGTGGTTTTGAAATCTTTGAAAAGTCTTTTATGAACCGTATGTAAAAACCTGCATGACCTAGAAAACTTCTAAAGCCTTTAATAGTTGTGAGAGGGGATAATCCTGCTATAAGATCAATTTTAGCCTTATCAACTTTTATCCCTTGAGCAGTAATTTTATGTCCTAAAACAATTCCCTCATCAACCATAAAATGATATTTTTTCCCAATTAAGAATCAAGTTTGTCTCTTCACATCTCTTAAGAACTAAAGTCAAGTGATAAAGACAATCCTCAAATGTTTTTCCAAAGAGTGTAAAATCATCCATAAAAATCTCGAAAAATTTATTGGTCATGTCAGAGAAAATTGCTAACATGCAACGCTGAAATATATTAGGGGCATTGCATAAACCAAATGGCATTCTCCTATAAGCATATGTTCCATGTGGACATATGAAGGTTGTCTTATCTTGATCTTCTGGTGCAATTGGTATGTGGTTATACCCTGAATAGCCATCAAGAAAACAATAAAACCTATATCTTATAATTCTTTCCAACATTTGATTTATAAATGACAAAGAAAAATGATCTTTTCTAGTAGCATCAATGAGATGTTTGTAATTAATACATACTCTCCATCCTATGACAGCCCTGGTAGGTATGAGTTTATTATTTTCATTTTTAATAACTGTCATACCTCCTTTCTTTGGCATTACCTGAACAGGACTTACCCACGGACTGTCTAAATAGGATAAATGATACTTGCCGCCAGAAGTTTTACAATCTCCTTTTTTACCACTTCCTGCATTGCTGGATTCAATCTCCTTTGGGGTTGGACTATTGGCTTGTAGTTATCCTCCATGAGGATTCTGTGAGTACAAACAACTGGATTAATCCTTTTGATATCTGCTATTTTCCACCCTAAGGCTCCTTTGTGTGTTTTCAAGACTTCAATTAATCTCTCTTCTTGTTCTGGAGTCAAAAAAGATGAAATAATCATTGGACATTGTTCTTTCTCAAGATATGCATAGTTTAAATGAGATGAGAGAATTTTGAAATCGGTTTTTGGCAGAACTTCTTCTGGTTGCATCTCTTAATCCTCATAATCCTTTTCTAATATTTCATCTTCTCTTATGATGGTGGGATCATCATCTTGTATGGTACCTGATTTGTCAAAGCATCTTTTCATTGAGTCTGGAGTTAATTGATCGTCTCTAAATTTATCTGTAAGATAACTAATCATGTCAATTGAAAAGCATGAAGATGATGATTCATCTCCGAAAAATCTTAGTATCTTTTGCATGTCTAAAATGACCCTTTCTTCATCAACTTTTAGAATTAGTTGTCTTTAATGGACATCTATAATTGCTCTACCTGTAGCAAGAAATGGTCTACCCAAAATAATTGGTTCTTCATGGAACTCCTTCATTTCAAGCACTATAAAATCTACAAGGAAAATAAATTTATCTACTCTCACAAGTGCATTTTCAATTATTCTCTTAGGTTTCTTAGTGCTCTGATCTGCAAATTAAAGAGAGACACCAAGATCTTTCAAGTCGCCAAGATTTAATTTTCTAAAAATAGAAAATAGCATCAAGTTTATTGAAGCTCCAGAATCGCAGAGTGCTTTTTCAAAATACATTCCTCCTAAAGTGCATGGAATTGTAAAATTGCCTGGGTCACCCAGTTTTTGCGGTAGCTTATTTTGAAGTATAGCACTATATTTTTCTGTTACCATTACCATAGAAACTTCTTCTAATTTCCTTTTTCTTGACAAAATTTCTTTTAGGAATTTGGCGTAAGAAGGCATTTGCAACAAAGCATCAGTAAAAGGCATATTAATGTGAATCTGCTTTAAAATCTCTAAAATGTTTGCAAATTGACTATCAAGATTTTCTCTTTTCATTTTTTTGTGGAAAAGGAATTGTCACAGGGAGATGTGTCATTTTTTCAATATTCTACTCATCATTTTTCTTAACTTCTTTATCTTCTAATTATTCAGAGGGTGTTTCAAAATTCTTACCCTTGTCTACCTGTTGTTTTGACAGGTTCTTTTCTTGTCTGACAGTATTGGGTTCATCATGCTCCTTACCTGATCTTAAGGAAATGGCCTTAAGGTGTTCCTTTGGGGTTTTCTTCGTATTGCTCGGTAAGGGGCCTTGAATTTTTTCTGACACAAGAGTTGCCAATTGGCTCAAGTGGATTTTCAAATTTTTAAGGGTTGAATTTTGGCTTTCTATTTTTTCACTAGTGACCTTAATGTATTTGTACAAAAGGTCATCAAGACTTGGATGTGGTTGTTGAGGCTTTTGCTGATATGGAGCTGCTTGTTGATAAGGTCTGAAATTTGGTTGCCCATGATTTTGATTTTGGTAACAGGTGGACCTTGTACTTGTGGCTTTTGGAAGATCTGAGAGTTTTTAGCACCATTTGGATTGCTCCATTGAAATCCTGGATGTTTATGTGTCATTTGACTTCCAAAGGGGTACTGCTTGTAACCGATTGCATTGACCTATTTGTCATTTTGATTGATTGCTTAGCATTCATGATTCAGATGGTTTCCTCTACACATATCACAAGCCTCAGACTGGCTTGGTTATTTTGTATTCACCTGAAAAGATTCAAATTTTTGTGCCAAAGCAACAATCTGTTGTGTTAGTGTGTTTAAAGCATCAACTTGATTTACCGTAGCGGCCCTTTTGATGATTACATGCTCAGATGGCCATTGAATGGCATTTTCAAAAATTTCATTCAATAACTGCAATGCTTCTTCTGTGGTTTTTCCCATCACAGAACCTCCTGCAGCTGCATCAATCACATTTCTAGAAGAGGGTTTTAACCCGTGTCCTTTCCTGCGCAATCGAAGAGATCTTTCAATTTTAGGATCGTAATTAGCCAACTCTTTTGTAGGAGAGCGGGTCATAAACTAGTTAAAATTTTGAAAGTAAAAAAATATTACATTAATTCCTAATGTAGTGTTAGTAATTGATAACTAAACTAAGGAAAATTTCAAAGATAGATAGTTAGTGAAGAAAAACTAATACCATAATATTATAGATACTAATACTAGTAATTAGGCTACTAAAAAAATAAAATATAAAAACAATGAAACTAACAAGGAAGTGTTAGTAGTAATACTAACAACTAATTGAGATAATAAAGACTTATTAAGTATAAACAAAAGTTGGACTAGTGAATAATAATAGTTATCAGTGAGAATAACAGTGTAGAAGTACTAATGATAATAATAATAATAATAATATAATATTACAAAATAATAATAATAATAATAATAATAATAATAATAATAATAATAATAATAATAATAATAATAATAATAATAATGATAAGAAAATAATAATAATATGTAAACAACAAACTATATTGAAAATAGAAAGAGAAGTATGTCGAAGTACTGGCAATGAGAAACAAAAAATGATACAACAGGTGATAGTACTAGAAATAATTAAACTAAATATAATGATGGAAAGCTAATGATAGCAATAATAGGAAGAGGTACAAATATATATTTTTTAAAGTATTATTAATATGTATTGATAATATTATCAGAAAAATAACAATAATAAGATCTCATATTAGTAACAAAATATTAAATCTGAAGTAGATGTATGCCAATCCCCGGCAACGGCACAAAAAATTTGACGAGGCCAAT